CTCTCTCTCTCTCTCTCTCTCTCTCTCTCTCTCTCTCTCTCTCTCTCTCTCTCTCTCTCTGTTTCTCCATATTGCATTCGTGCCATTTAAAAAGGGGGAGGAGGAATTAGTTACTCCAGGTTAGCGCTCACTAATCTCGGAGGAGCCGACACGGCCCTTAACGAGCTATTGATTAAGCGGCCCATTTATAAATATGACAACGTTAATTACAATCATTATATCGATCGCGAATCGGGTGACCGACGCGGCGAATTAATGACGGTCCCGATTTAGCCGAAGTGGCCGGCCGAACGACAAGAAAAAGACGGGAAAAAGACGGCAATTTCATACGCGTCCGATCCTAAGCGCGAGCTTCCAGCTCAGGCAATCGATAGCTCGCGCAACCGCCGCGCGCTTGATTAAACTCGGTGATTAACCGCTAACGAGACCGCGTACGTATCGCTTTAACATAAATCGCTCATTTACAAATCCAATAACGCGTCGTTGCTGCATCGTCGCGACGTGATCCATTAGAGAGCCGATCGAGGCTGCGAGTCGTCGATAGCCGTTAATGGAACGCGTCCTGAGGACGTCAGTCGCGCGATTAAAATTCAGGAATCTCTACGCCATGATTACGTATCTATATGTATATGTATATATATATATATATATATATATATATATATATATATATCGGCGAAATCGTTTGAATGCTTCTGCCGAAAGGGTGGTCAACGCTTTGCTCGTAAATGTTTTTTTGTTGCAACGTATACGACTTATTAAAACATAGTAACTGACAAATAAAAGCCAAACGCTGATCTTAGAGCGAACAATTTTTTTAAATATTTGACAGTGTCAACGTACGCGTCGGATAGGTTTTCCAATTTTTTAAACGTGCGCCGTAAAATACTTTCCACGTGAAATAGACCCTGAATGTCAATTCCAAATAATAATATAATTAATCTCTTTAATTAATTCGAAGTTCCCTGTTATTTTGATTTTAAATTATTGTTACAAAAAATATCGTCTTAATCAGGAGTTGAGCTTGGACCTCCCCCCACTTGCCGGGCGGGATGCCGTATCGATTTGGTTACTGAAAACTCAACGATACTCCACGGCGTACGTTTAAAAGATTGGGAAACCTAACGCGTGTCAAACATTATTAAGAAAAAATTATTCGCTCAAAGATCAGCGTCTCATTTGCATGATACAATCTCTTTTCCCTTCCTTTTTTACTGTTTCGGCTCAAGGAAATTTTACTCGAAAATTGAAGTGACAGCTAAATTATTCGGGTGATTCGTCATGCAGAGTGAATTCTCTCCGCTTTCCGCTCATTATAAAAATGAGACTTTGGCGAAAGAAAGGCGACTAAGGCCGCCCGTGCGATTTTTTTATTTTACAGGACGCGGCGCACCGCGCGTAACCGCGGCACTCGCGGGCGATGGAGAAGGTAGGTTGATCGTCACACCGATCCACAAGGAAAGCATTACCGCGCGCAGCAAGGAGGACCTCGCGCAAGAAGCAGCCCTGGTCCTGCAGCAGGCAGGCAGCCTTCAGTGCGTGGCCCACGACAATCGACGCCTGCCCGGCCGCTTCAGCACCTTGCCGGCGCGGCGGAACAAGAAACGGCCGGAACTACCGCTCGATGTGAGACGCCGAGGCAGCGAGGAGATTGGCGCGACGACGACGACGACGAGCGCGGACCTCGGCACTCCGCGGGCCAAGAAGAAGCCACTGGAGAGAAGCGCCAGCGATGCCAGTGCAAAGAAGCTGAAGGGCTCGCTCGCGCGCTTCTTCTCGCCAAAATTGGAGAGACGTCGTCGGCCGGTCGGCCGTAGCGCGAGCGACGCCGGCACGTGGACGCGCTCGCAGCGCAAGCGGAGCGGCAGCGAAAGCGAAGGTTCTCACCTGAGCACGAGCCGCGCCAAGAAGCAATTATCGCCGATAATCGAAGCGTCTCCCCAAATTGATCAGCAGCAACCGTTCCACTTCGGCGTCGACGGGACAACAGATCGCGAGGACAACAATAATCGACCGGAACCAAAGAAACCTAAACGGAAGGAGCGCGCGAGTCCGATCGATGCCGACCACGTGATAGCGGACGTCGCCGAGGCGGGAAAGACGATCGAGGAGACGAGGAGCGTGGAAGCGCGCACCGTTGACGAGCTCACCGGCAAATCGTCACCCAGCAGGGAGGCCAAGGTGATCGAGCATCGCATATTCGTCGAAGGCAGGGACAACGACGACGACCACGCGAAGGAGGAGGCGGCGGAGGAGAAGAAGGAGGCCGATCGGAAGACAATCGCGCCGTCGGCTAGCCGTACTCCTTCACCCACGAAGGAGTCTTCGAAGCGCGAGGGAGACGAAGTGGACGGAGCGGCCGGCGCGGATAGCATGCTGCATAGTAGCCGATACGATCTTCAGCAACGTGACGAGCAGTCGACCATCCACAAGATGATCCATCGATTGTCCAACGACCGGTCACCGCCGCCGCAGCTGACGAGGACCATGGTGTCGCCGTCGCCGGGATTCGGTCACAATAACAACCGACCGTTCTCCTATACGAGACCAAACGACTCCTGCAGCCCACCACCGGTGCAGAGCAACGTCATCTACGCGCAGGTACAGCCGGACAAGAAGAAAGCTCAGAGGAGTCACTCCGACAGCGACGAGGGTCTCGGTCTCGAGAGGAAGGACTCGTCGCGCGAGAACAGTCCCGCGGAGAAAGAGTATCGCAGAACGGATTATTCGTACAGCAGCGATCTGCGCCGCAACAATGAGATCAATAGTTTCAAGTCGAGATACGAGGAGGAACGCCAGAAAGGTGGTCCATTCGGCAAGAACTTTGGCGGCGCGAAGGATTTCGTCTCCAGGAGCAACGATGTCAAGAGACGCCACGAGTTTGAAGAAATCGATAGACGCCTTTATGACAAACCAGAGAAATACACTTCGACTGTGTTCGTGGACACTTCCGGCCGCGGCAGAGCCGATGGCATGGACGCCCGGCGGCGGGACAGCGGGGAGCTGCTGTCGAGGCAAAACGAAACCGGGATCTCGAACAAGACTTCCGAGCTGAGCGCCCGGCGAGATCTCTTGGAGTCCAGGATCAAGTCCAGACTGTTGGCCGACGAGATGTTCGCCGCCAAGAGCAACTGCGCGAACGTGCCGGTGAAGAAGTCCGAGCACGAAATCATCGACAAGCCGATCGTGCCGTCGCCAGTCACGCCGAACCGGATCGCGTCGCCGAAGCGATACATGGATACGTACATCACGGAGACGCGCACTAACAGCAACGGCGAGAAGTACATCTTCGAGAAAGAGATACACGAGGACAACGGCAAGGTCTACGGCTACGAGAAGAAGATCACCAACAAGATCCCGACCAACGGCTACCTCGAGACCTCGAAGCCGCGGGACGGCTACACGCTGGAAACCAGGACGGACAAATACGGCGACAAGTACATCGTGGAGACGCGAACTCACGAGGGTTATTCAACCGACAACTTCAAGCCGTTTCTCAGCGACCGGAGCAGGACCAGTCCGGAGGATCGATTTCAAACCTTAGCCCCGAGGAACAGTAGCCCCTACAAATCCTCGCACTATCTACCCGAGGAAACGACAGCCAACACCACGACAACGAATCGTCATTTCCGCAGCGAATCGCGGGATAACGACGAGCTGTCCTCGCCGATAATCGCCAAGAAACTAAACGAACGCAAGTTCTCCAAGAGCGATGACTTTTTGGATCGCGACAGCCGACCGGTTGGCCGTGACGCCTACCTACCGAAGACGAAAAGGAACTTCGAGTCGATCCGCGGCATGAGCAAGTCGACGCAGCGGCTCGACGAGGTCGGCGAGAACGCTCGGGTCCGCGCGCTCAGGGGTGAGTACACTACGAGGTCGCACGAGAATCTGAGTAGCGTGCACGCGGACTACGTGAATGCGCGCGACATGAGGCGTCCGTTGCTGGACAGCCCGACGATGAACGGGCGCAGGGAGAGATCGCCGTTCGCGAAGCGTCACTTAGATAGCCTTCGCGAGGGCCCGAACGACGACTACGACACCGACATCTCGCAGATGACGAGCAGTCAGCTGGAGTCCAAGTACTACAAGGAGACGCGTACCACGCAGAGGTACACCAGCGGCAAGCATCCGATCCACGACGACTACGACAGCTCGCCGCCGCGGATACGCACCGACCGTGGCGGCTACAATTCCAGCCGATACGATTCCGACACCACCGCCAGGGACTCGATCCGCTGCGAGACACGCTACGACGAGACCTCGCGCACTCTGCGCAAAGAGCATCGCAAGCTGGACGAGGACCCGAAAAAACCGCTGAGGCGGTCGCGCAATCGATTGGACTATTTCGACGACTCGGATAGTCCGCGCGGCAAAATGTCCTCAGTGAATCGATTGGAGACCTTCGACGAGAGTCCGACCAGACCACCGCGGACTTACCACGAAGGAAAATCGCGACACGCAAGGCAAGAGGTGCGAGGCCACATCGAGCGTCGTCATCGTGAGACCAGGTTGAGCGATCCGGATCGGAAAGACCGATTGGCCGATTCCGGGATCGAAAACGACTACCGACGGGACTCCCAGGAGGTCGACAGGCGCGAACAGCTCGAGTCGGAGGACGAGGGCTTCGTCAGCCGGCAGTTCATCAAGCACGAACGACGACACACCGATCGCAATATGAACCTGACGTCTTCCGAGCAACGAAAGTACGACAAATACGTCAACGACGCGTCCAAGCAGCCGTTAGTGACCGCGAAACCACCTTCTGGCGCCGACAAAAAGTACGAGAAGAAGGCGACGAAGAAGAGCGGAACCATGAGTAAGGTAAAGCAGCTGTTCAGTAAAAAGGAGAAAAAGGCGAAGGAGGAGAAGGGCAAGAAGAGTGCGAGGAGCGGCAGCAGCGGCGCTTTGACCGACGACGAGGTGACAATGAGATACCGAGAGTATCGCGGCGATCAGCTGAGGAGTGCGAAAAGCGCACGGGATTTAGGCAGCGATATCCAGCGGGTGAGTCTGTTTTCTTTCATTATCTTAATGTTCAGAGCCATCTCTCAGCACTAAAGACGGTTTAACTAATTCTAGGTTTATATAGATGTTTATTAATTTACAATTGGATCTGTGATTGGATTATTTAAACGATCAGTATTGAAGAAATTAATCGGATTAATGTGCCTGTCTATGAATTGATCGGATTACATTAATACATCGTAAAAAAGTATACATGCAAATCCACTCGTACGTAAAGAGCATTATAAAATAGAAATGGACAAATAGATACGTACTTAGTAATTCTGATAATTAGCATATCTTTCATTTTCCTTCAAACGTATATTAAAAATTGATATATTTTATTGACGCAAAAGTCTAGAAAAATGTTTAATACATAACTTATTATATTTTAACTGTGAGTTAACATTTTACAATCGTTAATATTAAGAATTAAATGCATACAAAGTGAAAAAAATACAAAAATTGATATCTTCTTCAGATAACAACCACACAATACGTCTAAAATCAGGACATTAGACGTCTTAGAGATATCTTATATTTCAGATATATTAAATTATCTCAACATAATAAATTATCAAAAATTATCAGAACATAATGAATTGTATATCAAAATATATTTGTTAATTTCCGCTGTTTTTTGTTGTAAAAAACAATTTTTTACCGTAAGCAATGTCAATCACGAAAAATGAAAAATAGCTTCCACAACAGATTCAACACAAGCTGTTTTATTAAAAGATGCGGAAACCAATCATATGTACACAATATTTGTTACTAGAATGTGATTTAAATTATTCATCATTATAATTTAGTATAATATTCTTGAAATTAGTAATTTACCAATCATATAGTAATATATAGGTCTTTAAATAGAATGTCTACTTGCAATCATGATAATATTTTCGAAACATTCTTATAAAAATTTTCATAATCTTCATCAGTATTATACCAATAATTCTAACACCATTAATATTAATGCAAATAGCATATATAATAATATATATATATATTTTTTTTTTGTTTTTTCGTCTGTCGTTTTACACACTTATAAATTCTTACAATCACCAAAGCGAATGGTATTTTTTACCGCCGTGTAAGCGCTCCAATACTAAATCAAAAATTTATAAACGTTTATAAGTGTGAGCGCTCATAGCGTATGCGCGTTCAAAGCGAACGTAATCCTAGTCCGATTGATCTCTAGACAGGAAAATTAATCCAATTAATTTAGGGAATTCTTGAATTTCTATTCAACTGAACACATATCCGATTACATGTTCTGTTTATTTGTAAACACCTTAAAGCCCTAGTTAAAGCTTGTCAAGAGAATGGCTACTAATCATTAAATCAATTAACTTATGCCACCTTAGCCATTTAGCTTAGCTGATAAATTGGATATTAAAATAAGTCAATGGGATTATCCTGGATTGATTGAAGTTGCAGATTGAATGCAATTACTAGTAAGTTGAAAAAAATATTCGATACATTGTGGCACATAGTTGTGGATTGTTATTTGTCAAAAATAGTGCGCTATCTCGGAAACACGATATTTTGAACGCAACATGAGTCGAAGAGAGATGTTGATCTCTACGCGGAAAAAACAATTTTGTCGCTGAATTCTCGTTATTTGACGAGCAAACAGAAAAAAAGTTGTTTGTGGGATAAAAAAATTCCTGTAAAAATTCGCCTCTTAGATATCTCAATCAAGTTCTAATGCAGCTGAACGTTCAAACGAATGTTTTCGATCATAGGAGCAGAGAGATAAATAATATAAAAGATATATTATTTTTCGTTACCGAGTTAGATTTGATCCTCAATAAATTCGAAATATTAATATTTAAGTGTTTTCCCATGCATGACACACGATGCATGACTTACGATATTTTCGATATATTAATTAAGCGGAGAAATCGTTTTTCCGAAAAAAAAGAGGTGAGTATCTGTGTAGCGTTAAGTGCGATGATTGTGCGCGAAGGTCGCGAGGTGTTACAAAACTCGCGCTCCGCTTCCCACGTTTATAATCGTCGCGAATTATCGGCCGCCACGGTAAGTAGATCGTTCTCTCAGCCTTGCTTCCGCGATCGTTCGTCGAATAATTCCTGAGGTATCCTCCCCGCAAATCTAATCCGCCGATAGCACCTCCGGTGCAAGCGGATCCCGTGCAAACGTGCGAATACGCGCGAAAGCGGAAATAGCCGGTAATTGAATGTGACGTAAGTTTCCAACTTGGCTGCGACTGCCGTTGCAATTGCGTCACACTAACTGTACAGCTAGCCGACCTTACCGCCTAGTCGCTGAAAAGCGCGACATTAACGGGCGACCACGCGGTAGGATTACACCGCCGCCCACGCCTACGTACAAGCGCTTTTCGGAGTATCCGTCGTACATGCACACGCGCATTGCGCGCGTAGCCGCGACAAGGCAACGCGACACTCCTGCGACCCTGCGGAACTGCAAAGACCCCGCGGTGATTAAGCGACTCGACTCGGCTCGTGCACACGCTACTCGTGAGCGTTGGCATTTATTATTTTAAACGTGACCACTTACAAGTAAAATGCGAAACTTTGACTTACGAAGGCGCGGCTTGTCGTTAACCTTCAGCTTCCACATATTGCTTCAACACATTTGCCGGTTGATAGTAATAAAATTTAATCGATGGCTAAAGAGTGCGGCCAAGTTTAGCCTCGTTTTGCGGCACTCAAGATCTTAAATTATTTTTGGATACAAAAATCCTATACGTTTCCTGTAAGAGTTTCAAAGAAACCTTCGATTTATTACGACAAAATACATATCTGTGGCGTCTCAGAGAGCGAGACTCCACGCAAGGTGCATCGCTCCTAGTTAAAGGGACGCTTTCGGAGCGCATCTTACGCACCGTCCTTCCAGGAACCGCGAGGCTCGCGACGCGTTTCTGAGAAACGCGGCGGGACAGCGATAAGCGCGAGCCCGCGATGAATTCGCGGAAGCGCGGGACCTGCATCAAATTCGAAGAATCGCGAGCCTCGCGATTTTCGAAGAAATTTAAAGCTCACCGATAGTAAACACCATTAAAGAACCAGAGTATAAATAGCGGACGAAATCGCAAGAAGGGCAGACTCCGCTCTTGACCTCGACCGAAGAACGATCTAGAGAGATCAAGAAATACAGAGCAGTAAAGCAACTGGGAGCCAACTCTCCTCCAAGGAGAGAACTACTGTGCCGTACGAGTCCTGGGTAGGCATCCTGAAGCCCGACGAGAGACAGCCTCAGGGCGAG